ATGTGAAGTATATTGCAAAGCAGCTCACCCAGTGAGAAGACTTTTGGCATAATGTGCCGATTTGTACAGATCCTGGAGATAGAAGGACTTCAGACCAACCAGGGAGTTATCTGATCAGCTTGGTGTTCAATGTAACTCTTTACCATGGCTCAGACTTTGTTACTTGCAGTTACAGTTTCTCATTTTAGATTGTGCAAATTTTGCATTTGTTTTTACATGTTCTTTGTTCATGCTCTTTATAATTTTTCTGAGTTGGAAAGTTAGATTGCATCATAGTTTACTTTATACATATTTGTATTCTTCAGTGGTGAAGTATATTGCAAAGCAGCTCAGCTATGTGAGAAGACTTTTGGCACTTTTTCGTTTTTCGTTTTCTGAGTTGGAAAGTTAGATTGCATTCAAAATGTACAGAAATACTTAATTTTGTTAAAGCTTTTTATAAAAAATGCTTCTGACCAGAGCTTTGTTTCCTTGTCATTAATGTTGAACACCACCAGAGGGGCTCTCACCTGAAAGGTCTCTGCTTCATGTGTCTTCAGCAGAAGATCTAGACTTTGATTGCTATATTTTCAGTTAATATTGACCTTACTGAGCTTTAGCCATATCCGCTGCCTATCATAAAAAATGTTAAGTACAGTGAACCTTTCTAAAATATACAGTAGTAAAGAGACAAACCCACCAGCATTATAGTAGCCAAATTCTTGTTTGTGGGCTGTATATATAAAATTGACTTGAAAAAGTTGCTGATTTTAGAGTACTGGCACCTTTTTCATTCCAATTCAAGCACTGTGTACGAGTGGTGGATCGGACGAGGACGGTGTGTCGCCGTTGTTCTACAGTGGTGCGGTATGCTATTGGTAATTAAGACATGAAAGCCGTGAGACCAAAATAAATAACGGAAGCTTTTGGCATATGTTTTTCAACGACTATGCGCTCTTGAAACACTTTCTTATTATTTATGATGTCATATTTTCAAGACATTCTTTTTAGCTTTACAGCTTGATGAAACCTTTTTGTTTGACATCAGCCATTATAGATAATATGGCCATCTGAGTGTACTGTGTATGGTTTGTTTTTAACTGTTTAATACAGTTCATTATTCAAAAAAGAGTTCTTTATTTTTAAACTGAAACTTGCACTACTGTTCAATCATAAATAACAACAAACCAGGAATTATGCATTTGGGACTTTTTTTTGCTTTTTCTTGTTGTACCGAACCGTACCGAACCGTGACCTCCAAACCGAGGTACAAACCGAACCGTGACTTCTGTGAACCGTTACACCCCTAATGCACACACTGTGCCCGTCTCCCCTCGGGCGACAGGAAGCAGAGAGCGGACGCTCTTGCTACTGCGGCCGAGGAGGACGATTGGCTCGTCCAGGCTTACGAGTCCGCGGACGGGGGCCTCGTGTCCCTGGGGCCGAGTGCCGGGCAGGAGTCCAACAAAAGATGCAGCGTGTGGAAACTCCCTCGCAGCCCTTTTGCCTCACGGGCAGCGGCAGCGATGGCGTGGCTCGTCACCATGATGACCATTACGGCACATCACAGAGAAGCCTCTCCCCCCAGCAGTTCCATGGGATACAAGAAACACTCCTCTCATCCCAGGAACAGTGTCTTGCGCGGTTTTTACTCCGCTATTTTTCACTCCGCTATTTTTCTAAATCTCGGAAAAGAACGGGGGAGTCGCCCCGTTGCTGTACAATCAAACATGTGTTGATTCGCACAGACAACAGGCCACGGCTATGGAAGCAGCCTACCTCAATCGCCAGGGAGGAGTACGATCTGCGCACCTTCTGAACGCAGCCAGGCGGCTGCTGTTCTGGGCGCGCACACACGTTGCTCTCCATCAGAGCAATGTATATTCCCTGCTAATTGAACCGAGGGGCTCGCAGAACGCAGCAGCCGTGTTATAAGAGGAGTATGGAGACTCAGACCTGTGTCACGCACACTGGCACCTCAGTGGGATTTGGCTTTGGTGTTACGCACACTAAGCAAAGCCCCATTTGAACCTAATCAGGTTCCCCTTAAACTGTTATCAGCCAAAGTAGTACTACTTTTGGCTCTATCAGCGAAAAGGGTGAGTGATTTGTCTGCTCTCTCTGTGGCTCCGTCATGTCTTCGGATCCAAGGAGTTTTGACCGTTGGTGCTCATCCTAATTTTCGGCCTTGATGTAACAACATTCATAATTAAGTAAATGTAACACCCTTTTCATCCTGGTTACACTTTTCATTTGCCCTGTACGATGGGCGCTATAAGTGATGAACATGGGGGATGTTTGTTTATCTGGCACCCGCAGTTCACAGCAAAAGTGCGAGTGAGCGAGCGAGGGAGAGAGGGAGGGTGCACCGGTACCGGCGCAGTTGCTATTAGAATCTGGTGCTAGCTGCTCTAACGGATATAAGAAGAAGATGTTTCTACAATAATGTGGAGGAGAGTCCTCTCCAGTCAGACTGAGAGGCTGATAACTACAGCTCAGTGAGGTAAAGGACTCTGAGTGTTTAGATAGTTCACTTTAGTCTAAGTTATCTCAGTGGGTCTCAAACGTTTTGATCACAATTTATGTAAACACATATTTCCAAGGCACTCCTTTATAATTATTGGGATAAAACAGGTTTGAAATCATTCCAATGTATACTATAGGACAGTAAACCAGACATATCGTTTTAAACTGGAGAGATACAAAAATATGCATAAATAAAAAAGTAAAATAAGATATGAATGAACAACAAAAATAGAATACGTTACATGTATTTGTTATTGGCTATGGTAGGTTATTGGTTATGTTCACATACTTATTTGATTATTCAAATCTAAACCGATCTTTTTCATATGGGTGTTTAGAGTTGTACCCCCTAGATCTAGTCTCTAGTAATTCTGCTTAAAGTGCACCAGATTGAAGCATTTTACTTTAAAATGTTCAAACATTTCTTCCCGGTATGCCTGAGAAGGCAGATATGCTTGTTTTTCTCAACAAGAACTGTTTTTAAATGGGGGGGGGTTCCTTTCAAAGTTGGATTGTTGCACTGTTGTAGCTTCAGTGGTTCTCAGGTTACAGTTACTGTAGGAGCAAACACAGTGGTGGTGGCTTAAAGCCTACCTCCGCTCCGCGCCGTCCGTTAGATGAGCCTGGTCAGATTAATAAGAGAAGGAGTTCAAAATACCGGAATAAAAGTTATAACAATAATCTGATTTTAATGGTAAAAAACACCAATACAAGTTACAGAGTACTCTGGACTCCCAGTTCTACTGCCGTGCGATACAGATATCGGGACCAGCCAGTCAGAAACAGGGGGCATTTTGCATGAATAAACAACAGTATATATAGACATATTTGATTCGCTTGGGAGTAAAATGGGACGGAAGAGTCGACACAACTCCGCCCCATTTTACTCCTAAGCGAATCAGAGAGTCCGTGGGGAGGAGTTGTGTCGGTTGCTCACTCCCCTAGGTGTTCTTACTGGTTGGATTCACTTCGGGTTGGGCCCAATACAGCGAATCAGAGTTCTGGAAAAAAGTATTTTTCTTCTGAACAGATAGTGAGAGCTTCGGAAGTAAACAAGGACAGAGTCACTTTTTATCTTCCACCTGACTTCACTCCTTTACTTTCCCAAGGAATATTTCACACAAACTATTCCTTCCCAGACAATCAAACATTGTACACAGATATATTGGTGCTTGACATTATATTGGCCCCAGAAAGAACCTTGAAAAGAATATGTGTGTGTGCTGGTATCTGGGTCAGTGAGTGTAGGTGAGCAAAGAATATGTGTGTGTGCTGGTGGAAGGAGGTGTATGTGTGTGTAGCAGGGTATCTGGGTCATTGAATGTAAGTGAGAAGGTTATATATATAGGATTACTTAAAACAGTCCAAAATAATACATGTTTACTTGAATACAGTTCAAGATAATACCTGTTTACTTTAATACAGTTTAGAACAATATCTGTTTACTTTATTACATAGCAGTGAATATAAACAGACTGATTAATGTGAATATTACTGTAAACTAACCTGTGTAAAAGTTTCTCGAATAAATGTAATCTTTTTGGTGGAAGAAGCATGTATCTAGTATCATGTATAGTTTCTTTCACCCTGCCTCTCAAAGAATCGGAATTAAGAACCGGAATCGAAAAGTAGAATCGGAATCAGAATCGTGGAAATTCAAACGACACCCAACCCTAGTAATGGGTTAGACCCGACAGTGAAGAATAAACATATGTATAACTAGTTTAGCTTGTTCCAGAGGTAGATAAAATAGCTAAGTGTGTTAGGTCTAACTCTTAGTGTGTGTTTTGCTCCGCTCACCGGTCCGTCACAGCGGGCGGAGCTGCAGGATTTCTGCTTCACACACGTTGCATAGCGCTATTTTATTGACTTTTTAGGACACCTTAAAATGCTGCCAGACCGGTAAAGCCATTTTGGCGAGCTTGTTTTGCCACGCACAGAGAAAAGTGTCATGTATTTTACGTCATGTGATCAGCTCTCCTGATCGGCCTTTATAGAGAGCACCGATCGATCGGCCGAGAGTGAATATCGGCCGATAACGATCGGCGGCCGATCGATCGGAGCATCCCATATATAACTGTGTGTAAATCTGTGCTTGCCTGTATGTTTAACTGCACATGCTTTGTTGTATACATACAATATATAAGAAATTACAGATATAATTGCAACCCGCATGTTGGACAGTAAATGCTATTTACTAACATTCAATAAATGCATACATGTATGCAGCCAGTTTGTTTTTATTCACAATTCAAATTATTTTCAGATTTATAATGAAATAAATATTATATGTATTTATTTACCCTCTAAAATGCTAATATTTAAACTAACTTAACATGTTTTTACTTTAACATTTATTTTCTTTCACTATTGTAATTTTGTTTAGGCAAAGCATTTAGTGCATGCCAATGAAGTATATCGAACTAAATTGACTGGAAACACTGTTTTGATAATAATCACAGTTAAACTGACAGTAATATATTTTCACTTCCCAGCGAGCGCTGTGTTATCCGTGGTTTTCCTGAAGGAGACAGTGCGTGCCTCTGACATTTTTGGTAAGCAAACACTTCCTCTCAAGTTCACAAGTCTTCATCTAACAGATCAGGCATATCACAGGGACTCTCAGTCGCAAAAAGTCTTGTGACAGAAGAAAACATATTTCAGTTTACAACACTACTGACCTCATTTTACTTCCTTTCAGACTGAGATCAAATCAAACATTTGATCCTGCAGTTTAAACATCTAATTGCTGTTTGTTTTTGCCAGTGAAATAAAACGATCAATCCTATTATATTATTTTATGGAAAGCTGTTTGTTATTTGTTAAATTGTAGAGACTGCTGCTAAATGATCATGGCCTTTATGTTAGTCGCAATGACACTCATGCTACATTGAAAATGTACTGCATACTGCATACATGAACAACAACAAACAATACATGAACAACACAAACAACAACCAACATAATTATTACATTCAAATGAAGTACATTATTCAAGTTTACATTAACTTTGTAAACTTGAATACAAAAGTTAATAAACGTGTGTTGCCTTAATAAATCACACGTTTAGGGTATTAGCAGTTGAAAGCAAGAGTGAAATAGTGAGGGCTTTTTTGAAGGATGTCAAACCAGGTTGTATTTATTACCGAAATAAATCAGTTTAGTGTGGATGTTAATGTATTAATGCATAATTGTCAATTCATTAAAGGGAACATTTGCAAAAACAGAAAATCACAATGAGTGTGCATGTTGAAATATTTTGCATGGGAATGTAAGATTTGCAGTGACAGTTTAAATATACGTATACTTATATATGTATACATACATACTTATGTTCAGCCATACAGTATATTTGCAGTTTCTTTTCCAGGATTTTAGAGTTGTACCCTTTAAAACAGGCAATTAAAATTATGTACAGGTAGTTCTGCAATCACATTAAACAAAATCATGTACACTGATCTCGCCGTTCTCTGTTCTCCTTCTTCTCTAGGTGGCACCCTGGCAATAACAGGAACGTATGTCCTGGTGAACTTTGCCCCCCACACTACCATACACATTACAGCCCATCTGGTACAGTACTACGTGATGAACTGGCACTTCCTGCTTTACCTTGTATGTAACCCCTTTAAATATCCCATATAGTTAAAAGTAAGAATGCCATGTATTTTTCTATTTGCTGTAATTTCTCTGGAAGAATCAAAACGCTCAGGGGAGATGCACAGCCCGTATTCAGAAACTGAGATTTAATGAGCTTTCTGGATCTCAAAAGGTTGTGATGTTGCAACTATAAATATATAAGTAGAAAGTGTCGCTACAGTCCCTCTCCAGCTGCAATGATGGTGCGGAAATGCAAAGAGTGCAGATGTGGGAGGCCCGGAAACACACATCAACCAGAACAGACTTTGAGCTTCTTTTTGTATGTCTACATGGGATGCTCTTAAGTGTGTACTTGTACATATGACAGCTTTTGCCCTGCTGTTAGTTAGCTCACCCAACCTTTGACCTCCCTTTAGAGAGGAGCACTCCTTTTAAGGCTCAATTCAAGTATAGTATAAATCCTCTGTCAAAATGTTGAAGTATACAGTTGATGGATAAGAGAAAGGTGAAATGAATCGTTGATTAACAAAGATTTCTCTTGTCCTTGTGTTGTGTTTACATGGACTTTGTAAAGTGGAGTCTGTTCAAACTAAAACAGATCGGCCCTACCTCATGGTTTGATACCCATATGCTCTTCTTCTCCAATTTAGCCTCAGACAGGGATGGCTTCAACATACCTGTTGTCATATTGATGGGTCTTGTATACTGTAGATCTGTGTTTTTCTCAAAACTCGTCACAGAAGTGTAAATTAGTTCAATTCAAGAGGACTTCCGGTTATGGCGCGGTGTTGATCAGACCAACCTGGTCTCACCAAAATGCATGACTCCACCACGACTCATTAACACCGCATTGCGTGGTGGAGTCACAAACTTTGTTACATTTACATGTCTGCACCACGCAAACAACGCGCATGTAAAGTGAATGAGGCTGCTTTGTCGTGGTGCACCAACCCAGTCTCATGGCATTTCGTGTTCACCAACACGATTTTTAATCTATTGATTCGTGTTCACCAACACGATTTTTAATCTATTGATTCGTGTTCACCAACACGATTTTTTAATCTATTGATTCGTGTTCACCAACACGATTTTCCCCTTTTTTTCGTGTTGCACAGCACGATTTAAAAAGCAATGTATTTCTACTGGTAATGTGTTTCGTGCCTGCAGCACGTATTTTTCTCCGGTCGGGCCGTGGAAGACCGGAAGCTGTGTGGTTCATAAAAACATGTTCTTACTCAATATCAAGCCACAATTATTGCTTTTATTTTTAATCGTATAATTTCTGACTTTTGTTGCCGTCTGTGAGGAAAATAAATGGGGCTCAGAGCCTCAGGATACTGAAATCTATATTTTTTAAATCTTTTTTTCCTTCTAATTTGTTATTCTTTTCAAAATAACACACTGTTATTTACTCACCAATAACACACAATCATCCTTGCTTTTATTTATTGGTTTAATTCCATAATCTCAGGCTTTTTTGGCGTCCGTCAGGAACTGAATTTCAAAATAAAAATAACCGGAAACAGACGTAGGCATTTTGAGCGATTACCCAAGATCCTCAGCTATGGTTTAAGCTCGCTGATTGGATGTTTTAGCCGCAATGCATGCTGGGATTTGGTGTTTATATGATATGAAATCCGGAAAACATTTTAAAAGAATAAAATAATACTTAATTCCGAGTGTTCTTGCTTTTCTCTTTGAAAGCCATCACATAACTGCATTGTAATACACGGTTCGGCTGCATTACATATTACAGATCTGCCATAGTTCTCTATTTATAAAGCCCTGATGAGAAGACCTTTGGAAAAACTGGAAGAAATGCCACTGAAACTGAATACTTGATGTGGATCATAAATATATCAACAATTAAACAACATCTTCAATTTATCTTCACACAATACGTCTCCTTGCAGTATCAACACTAATTCGGCTGACTTTTACATTTGATCTAATTCATAGATAGGTTATATTTACACCATAACGGTGCACAGCTGATATAAAAGGACTGTAGTTTTTAAAGATATTACTGATTTTCTTTGAATATAAGAATGTAAATACTGAGTCTGAAATAATATAGCAATATGCTGTACAATTATGTGAAAGCATGAATAAAACTACACATCTTCAGAATGTTGTACTTACATAAGTGTCCTACACTAATAATACAAAGTTATTATGGCTGTGTGTACCTTGTGTGCACCGCCTAGTGGTTAAAGCACGTTATATGTTATATTTGATTAAAAAAATATTAAGAGTACGTACTTTCATAGGGGGAAAGTAGAAGGTCTGTGATAGAAATATAGAATATAAAAAATCAAGAAGATACTATAAGTGATCTCTACAATAAAACAGTTTAGTGCAGGATGTACAAAGATATTAATAGGAAGAGGTGCAAAACAGAAAAACGAATTAACCTTTATTTAAACATTAAATAATACTTTAGATTAAGGTCTTCTTTTAAATAAGAAAACAACTTTGGGGGTATATATCTACAGATACATATTAAGCCTGACAAAGTACTTAAAGAGCCTGTGACATGAGTTTCCCCCATCATCCAAACCCATACATTTGAGTAAATATTGTCCCCTTGATAATCGTTACTGAACTAATTTTGGATATTTGTACTTTGATAACCATTAATCTGCCCTTCAATGTTGACCATTTTCTGGATCTTCTCGGGGATTCTTCAAGTCCCGCCAAATTATGTGTGACGTCATTGCGGGCACAGCGCTCCAGCTGCACCGTTCAGGATCCCAACATCTGCATGTAAACGCACGATGGCGCACACAGCAGCAAGCTCAGACAGCGATGACAGTTTAATTTTGAACGTGTCTGAGAGCTCATATGAGGCTGAAGGATCAGTTTATGTTGTATCTGTTAGAAGTTTAGGAATTAGGTGCGTCAATATGGGCGATAATACGGTCATGTAGCCAGTGGTGGACTGGGACTAAACCGGCCCACTTCGGTACCGCTAGTAAATTGTCAACGGGGGGAGTGGGGGATGTGCTAGTGACTTATCCGACCGGCCCACTTCGGTACCGGCCCATGGGGATTCGTCCCGATGGCCAGTCCGCCACTGCACCCAGCCCACGTAAACTGTCAACGGGGGAGCCTCGCTGCGGGGAAACGGTGGACCTAGTGTCCCGATCGGAGTGGGAATAATAATAATAATAATAATCTGTGCATTTTATCCATTAATTTCCCCAACATTGTGGTAAAAAAAACCACACGTTTAATCCATGTTGGTGTACTACAACTACAAAAAGCATCGGTCTGTTTTCTTATCAAACAAACGATTTTTAAATCATCATCCTCACGATCATTTAATGTATCATATGTTCGCCGAATTGACATGAAAGCACTAATAAATGTAGTTTCATCCACTTGAGTTTACAACTACAAAAATAATCGATTTGTTTTTATATCACATCCGACGGGAGGAAATTCAGCAGCTCTCACTACCGATTTTTAATCCTAATTTAATCATCATCTTCACCACGATCATTTATGTTTATGTTCGCCGAATTGACATGAATATGAATATACTGTAGTCAACTTCATTACAATGTTATTAACGTGCCTAAACTCAGTAATTCACCATTTCTATGCATGACAACACAGTTTGTCCGTGTTTGGCTCTCTCGCCGCACAGTGGCTTCCCCCAAAACATCAAAATGAGTCGAAGGAATTTCCCCGCGATGTTCGAAATTATTGATATTTATCGGAACGGTATCGCAACTTCTTTTTTAAACTGACGGTTCGAGATGACTAGTCGCCCAATATTTCATTGCAGAACAGTTGTTGGGAGGCTGTCACAGGCTCTTTAACGTCTAATATATTGCTTTCCTGCAATGTTAACTATGTTGAAACACTTATTTTAACCGATATTATACACATTAATTATACTCTTATGTATGTAGATAGTATAAGAAATGTGCAGAATATGACAGTTTAATGGTGGAGGTACACACATATTGATAGATGTCTTGTAATGCACTGTTGAGGAACCTGTGACCCAAGTTTTGCATTCATTGCATAACTACACCATAGTTGTGTATATGATATGTCAATAAACCTTAGAAAATCTTGAAATCTTGAAAGGGATGTGCAAAATAGCCATAATATACAGTCTTTAATTAACTATTAGTAGAGAATAACGAGTAATGAATATACTTTATTACTTGTTTCCATTCATGTCAATTGCAGATAAATGTTTAGTCTTCTCAAGCACCAACTATCAAATATCTCTCCTGATTGTTGGCACTTGACAATCACCTTCCCTGAATTTTACTCAGGTGTAACTAAAGTCTGATTTAAGGGTTGTTTATATTTCACATCATTAATCAGAATCTGCAAAGTAACTCAAATAAGTGTAGTGGAGTAAAAATACCAGGTTAACCTCTGAATTGTAGTGGAGTAGAATTACAAAGTAACAATGAACTGTCATGTGGGTATATATTAATGCTGCGCATTATGGACACAAGCGATTTTCACCCATTTAGTAATTACATGTTTTACATTTGATAACACCAATGTGTTTAATACTGGCAACTTCTAATTGTGGGAAAAATGAAAACGTTCAGTAGAGACGTCCCATAGAACATTTTGCGAAACACAATAGCCAGCATGTGTAGTTCTGGGGGGGCGTTCGATTCCAGTTTTGGATAGTCTGCCGTGGTTTCGTTCCATTTCAAACAGCTGTTTGACGCTCGGCGTAACCTTGGCGCACTGCCACTCCAACATCCAATCCCAGAGCTTGAAGATTAATCACGGGGACTGTAGTCCTAAACGATAGCTGGGGATTATGGGTAGTGTAGTGTCTTTGGCCATCCTAAACTCCTAGAGGCCTACGTCTGTTTCCGGTTATTTTTATTTTGAAATTCAGTTCCTGACGGACGCCAAAAAAGGATAATTGTGTGTTATTGGTGAGTAAATAACAGTGTGTTATTTTGAAAAGAATAACAAATTAGAAGAAAAAAAAGATTTTAAAAATACAGATTTCAGTATTCTGAGGC